AGACACAAATAGGATATACTTATTGCAGTAAAAGAAAGTAAGTAAAAAATTAGACCTTTCTATCAGAAACAACATGTTCCCTATTTTCAAATAAAAATATTAAATCTGCGAAGAACTGTGTCTTGAGGCAATCTCTTGAGATATAAGAGAGAGAAGCGAGCAGAGAGACAGGGGCACCTTGTACCACCAAGAAAGCAGTGCTAGGAGCAAAGCGTGTCCTATGGACCCAGGGTCCCCGTGCGGAGAAGCTCCTAGTCCGGGGGAAGATTGATGAGAAGGCTGACAGAGAGAAGGCCTTCCCCTGGAGCTGATGCTTTGAATTTGGGCTTTTAGCCTACTTTACTGTAAATAAATACATTTCTCTTTGTTAAAGCATCCACTTGTGGTATTTCTGTTACAGCAGCAATAAATGACTAAGACATGCTCTAAATTTATAATATTGGTTGATAAAAGCACATTAGAAAACACTTCAGCTGCATTATTTGAAAAAGCCTTTTTTTAAATCACTGTCTAATTTTGTTGTTTCAGTGTTTTATATTACTATTAGTTTTCTCAATTTTTTCTCACTTTTTACCTATCTTGCTTTTGTAATTTTCAGAAAACATTAAAAAAAAAAAAAAGAAAGAAAAGCTGCTGATGGATTTAGAAAATTCCTGATTCATGAAGCCAGTAATTCTTTTGACTCTACTGCTATAATGAGTCAATCCTTCAATTCTAGTAAGACTGATGGGGAGGGGAGAAGCGGGCAGGGACACGGAAGTAAAAAGATCTTAACTGCATCAAACTAGGGAAAGTCCCTCCCTGCATGGTGTGGGCTCTCCATTTTCCATTCTGAGATAGCACACCTTTGCTGATCAATGGCTCATGTCAAAAAACGTTTCTCATTATTTGGCAAATTTTCGACTTAGTAGACTAACCATCCTTTGCAGTTCTGGAGGCAGAAAACCAGGAATGTTGTGTGCTGATTGCTGGCTGTCCTTCTAGGGTCAGTTAAGCCATTGGATGTATGGAAGCTCATGGAAATAGAAGAGTCAGCAGAATCCTGAAGACGGTGGTAAGCTGGGAAACCCTAGTAACATAGTGGTTAAGAGCTACCGCTGCTAACCAAAAGCTCGGCAGTTCAAATCCACCAGGCGCTCCTTGGAAACTCTATAGGGAAGTTCTACTCTGTCCTACAGGGTTGCTATGAGTCAGAATCAACTCAACAGCAACGGGTTTTTTTTGACTTTTTGTGGTAAACTGTAAGCCTGCAGAACTGGGGTCATTCAAGCCTTGGGTTACCAATTCTTAGCTAGTGAATACACCGTGAATAATGAACAATTGGTTGGATATTTTCTCCTCCTATTCTCACTTACTGCAGGCTGCTCCAACCTCCATCTTGTAATCATAACCACTTCCAGAAGTCAAGTGGGTTGCCTTAGGCCACCTGGAAGCTATGAGAAAAGCTGTCTGACTTCTTATCTCTCTTATCTGTCTTAATAGGACTGGGGCCAAACACCTACATAACCCACCCCTCCTTTTTCTCTGCCATTCCCAACTCCATTTAATCCCCTTCAAAAAAGCTCTCTCTTATGGAAAGAGGTCATTCTCTTTGATCCTCTTCCTTTCCCTTTCCCTCTGGTGTGGGGGTAGGGGGCAGAAATTAACCACTGCCCTCTCTCCCTCTTCCTTTCTTGTTTCCATTTTTAAGCCTCCATTAAAAAAAGAAAAAAAAATAGAAAAAGTTACTGGGACAATTTTCTAATTCTTTAGTATAGGTATAGTTTTGAAGTGAAATTAACCATAGTAAAGACAACATCTTCAGCTGCTAATGTACAAAATCTCTGAAATGCTAAAATGTTCTTTTCAAAGTCTTCATAAAAGGTTTAATTTAACTCTATACTCATCTTTAATTACAATTATTCCCTTCAACAAGAAATGTCTAAAAACTCCCTTGGTATGCTTTTTTCTCGTGGGTTGAGTCTCAGTATGCTAATAGTACTGTTTTTTTTTTTTTTAAATTCCTTGGGAAGTGTACAGATTTCAACTGTGTTATGAGTTAAAGAGGTTTTGAGGACAAGAATCTGGGAACCAAATCATAACTTTTAATATTGCTTCTCCAGGCAAGTTTTCTAAGTTCCACACAACTTCTGTGAAATGAACTTCTGGAACAAAACCCATTTATAAGCTAGGGACTGAGTGTACACTATACACTCCCCATAGATCTTCATTAGCACTACAGAACTGAAAGCTGTCACCCAGCTTGATGCCGCGGGAAGCACGAGATATACAGACTACCAAATCACAGCAGTTGGCATGTCCTCCAGACCCCCTGGCAGAGCAAATGGCCAACAGAGCTCAAAACCAAAATGGTTTAGGAGGCAGTGAATACTGTGTGACCTCGAAGACCCATCTGGTTTTTTAATGCATTTTCTTCCATTGGACGTTGAAGAAACATACGTTTAACCGTGGCACAAATAACATTTGAAAACACCACAGGAAGGGGCCCTAAAGTTGAAAAAGGTTTCAAGACAGCAAGTCAGAAGTCACAGAAGGAAGCCTAGACCTGAAGCCAACCAGATAACTGTATTATTCAGCAGGAGCTACTTACAGAGTATCATCAGAAACCACTACAGAGCTGCAAAACAGACAGTTATAGAAACTCCCAACTCCTGCATTAAAAAAAAAAAAATTGCCATCTAGTCGATTCCGACTCAAAGAGACCCTGTAGGACAGAGCAGAACTTCCCCATAGGGTTTCCAAGAAGCGGCTAGTGGATTTGAACTGCCGACCTTTGGGTTAGCAGCTGAACGCTTAACCATTGCGCCACCCAATAAAATTTCACACATTAGCTGATGGTCCAGTGAGTCCCTGAGGAGGGAATGTTGATTGATGAGGGTATGTTGATTGATGAGGGTCTGATCTGAATTTGGAAGTGCAAATAGCAATAGAGAACAAGTTCCTATCAGGGCAAAAGACCTACTAGCCAGCAGGCTCCTTTATTCTTCCCATTGGCAGGCTGGCCTTGGTCAGGAGGCCTGGAAATCTGTCCCTCTGCAATTAACAGAGAAGAAAGAAAGTGACTTTTGTTGACTTTTGTTTGTTTGTTTGAGGCCTCAGGTTTCAAGTCAAGTCATTTTCATATAGAACATTAACTCCCTCTTCAAACTCTTTGAACACTTAGAGCCACTTCCACATTATTTGGCACTTAATTCTCTGCAGTCTCATCTTATTCTTTGATTACATGGTGCATGCAAGTCTGGCCTCCTCATTAGGAACATAAACACCTTAAAGGCAAGTAAATGGACTTAAACTTCATTGGGATCTCCCATAACACCTATACACTGCTAGGCAGAGTGGGTATCTGGTAAACACAGGTGGACGACCTCACAGGATGAGGCCCTGGCATATAGCCACAAGCACTGAAGTAAAGCCAATTTCACATGCCAATCTCAGCACAGCTTCCCAGGAACAGCAATGATGGAGAATACAGGCTAGGAGGCTACTTTGGCAGTCACAGGGAGCTACATCAGAGTGGAGAAACTATGATTCCTGTGTGTAGGGAAAAGTCTTTAAGACCTAGAGACCATAATCTCCATGAGGCCAGGAACTATGCTTGTTTTGTTCCCTACCCAGCACTAGCACATACTAGGATCTCAAAAACCATATACTGAATGAATGAAGAACATGAAACCAGGTTTCTCTCCATTGTTTTTGTTGTCAGCTGCCATGGAGTCAGCCCCCAACTCATGGTCACCCATGCACAACGGAAGTAAACTGTCTGATCCTACACCATCGCCATGATCGGTTGTGAAGTGGACCATTATGATCCATAGGGTTTTCCATGGCTGATTTTCAGAAGTAGATCACCAGGCCTTTCTTCCTAGTCTGTCTCAGTCTGGAAACTCTGCTGAAACTTGTTCAGCATCACACCAACACATAATGCACCACTGACGATGGGTAGTAGCTGCACATGAGATGCAATGGCTCAGAATGAAACCCAAGTTCTCCTCATTGTTCTCTGGGTTAATGTAGCCATACCTTATGTTTTTCTTCATTCATCTTCTATAATCAATACACAGAAGGGAAGAAGATTCCAGAAACCAAACCAACATGGTACTCAGAGTGTATACACAGGGGGGTGGTTTCCTCTCAGGCCTGCAAAGAGTATGTGTGGAGGTATAGGGTGAGATACAGGATCAGGAAAGAAGGTCACTGGCCCACTAGCCCCAGGTCTCAGGGCTTGCTGTGGAGGCACAATAGTTCCTCTGCCTAAGAGAAATGACTGGATGTCAGAGCAGGCTCTTGGCAGCTTGAGGCAGTGCAACGCTGCCCTGTGTGGTCCCCGTCTGGCTGGCAGCTTCCTGCCAGAGAAGGCTGCCAAGCAGGTTGTGACAGCTGTCAGGGCACAAAGTCTCCGAGGTTCTTGGGTGCACTGCCATTTCTGACCTGCCTGTCTGCTACTTGTGGGAAGTAGCTGGGAAGTTCAGAGGCTGAGAGACCCCATTTTCCATTGGCTTTCGTCTTCAGTGAGATGCATGGCTATCTTGTCCTTTTAAGATTGTCTTTGGCTTGTCTGGTCAATATGCTGAACCTGTTGATTCTGGACTCTAGGTATGAAGGAGAACTATAGTCCACTCTGTTATCGACCACTTGGTTTTCACTGTGACGACATGATCACACTTGTTTACAAGCATCTTATCACAGCAACTGACATCTGGCATGGGTTACCACTAGGAGCAATCACCTGTCTAAATAAATTACTTTTTAAAAAAAATTAAAGATGGCCTCTTAACCATTTACTTCTTTCTAAAATGTAATCTCAAAATCTTAATGCTTCTTATTCGGAATGTTTATACTTTAAGGGATTTTGATCAGGGACCACCTTTTTCTATTCTCCTAAAGCAACAACCTTTATTGAAATTTGCTGATAAGTGAACTCAATTTCCCATCAGGAGATGCATAAGTGTCCTATTCTACAATCAAAGGTGAAAAGTTAAAAGAGAAATTTCAGACAATACCTTTCAGCATCATTCGTCCAGTGGATCCTCCAAAAGTATTGAGAAGGCCACTTCTTGCTCCTAAAGATGTGGTTGCTTCTAGGAGAGACCCAGTGATGTACTGAGATATGGAAGTCCTTTGGAGGGTGGCACGATACTCACATATGGTGTCTTGGACACGCTGCTTTAAGCATGGACCACTGCTAATCCTTCCATGGGCTGTTTCAGAGGCTGGGAGCTTTCTGAAGAAATGGAGAAGAGATCCAATTGTACCTTCTATTTCTTCTCCTCGTCTCACTGCATTGTAGATCTGTGAATAGCACAAAGTACAGGAAGTATTAATCCAGTTTCTTAGAAAAGCAAATTAGCTTGTTGACAAAATGCCAAGATGACTTATTAAGAAAGAAGGCTCAGTTGCTCTAAGCACAAACACTCTTGAGCACTGGACTTATGCATTAACCTGAACATTCTACAGACATGGTTTATTTGGAAAAGCTATGTGTAGTTATGAAATAGGCCATTCAAACAACGCTGCTGTCAAACAGAGCACTTGCAAGTTGTACCAATCAAAAATATGTTAAGCTCAAATTTCTCCTCCTCCTCAGCAGAGCAAAGCTCCTCTGCAGAGGGACAAGGGCAAACCTTTCCTTTTTGTCCTTTTGGACTCTCCTGAGTGACTGTCCCATGTCTGCCTGCCTGCATGGAACACTCCAGCCTGACATTCATGAAGAACTTTTTCTCCACGCTCAAATTGAAGTGAGGATGAAAAGGTCATGGAGAAGGACAGCTTCTCTTGTTTCTTACTTAGGTATAAACCTTCAATCCATCAGCTGAGATCAAATTCTTTGAATTCTTTTTAGTTCCTCCTCCTCTATCACCCATGTTGAGTGAACTGACAAATCCTGCCCACTCTTCCTGCCCTGTCTCTATCACTATCCTGATTTCTTCTCCTTTTATCACGTGAATCCATCATTCAAATTATCTCAAGTTTGGACTATTAGGATCCGCTCCCAGCCGTTACAATGCAATCGTTCATCATGCATTTCATGGGAAGAACTGTGTTGAAAGACATGGGGCATGTGCAAAGAGTAACACACACCCTTTGTGCTGCAGGATTTCACACTCTAATTTGGAAGATAAGGCCTGACAATTATGAGGTCTGACATTATTGTAGAAAGGTTTTGGGTTTTGTCAAGCACTCTGGGAAGCCAGAGACTTCTGGGTGGTGTATAAACAACAGGGAAGAAACATAACATAGGGTAAGTTACTCTAGCTTTCTGATGGTGGGATAAAGGTTTACTATATTGTGTTGTCTCTATCATGCCACCTTGAGTCCCTTGCCTTGGATCACCTGTCATTCATTCCTCAAATCAACAAACAGTTATTAAGTGTTTATATACCAGTCACTGTACCATGCTTAGAAAAATAAGAGAGCTGCTTCTCTCAAAGGGATTATAATCTAGTAAAGGAGACAGGCAAATAAGCAAAAACCTTACAGCTGTGTGGAAATAGAGGTCACCCCCTCTGATGACACCAATGAGTAACCAGGGATGAAAAGGACCTCGCATGCCCTCTAGGCCCCTGTGATGCTGCATACTCCAAATTTCACCTTAGCCAGGGCCCACGGGCACTCAAGAGGACCTCTGCTGAGCTGTGCAAAGTCCTTATGAGACCCTAGAATGTATTCAGAACTCACCTGATAGTCATACTGCACTGACCTTAGCTAGATTTCTATTCTGCCTTTATCTGTCTAATGGTATACACTTGCCACTTGAAGGTAGACTGTGAATTCTTAGCTTAATTCTCTATCATTAAATTTCTGGTGGCCAGTGTGGCCATGGATAGTGTGCTGGGTCAGAGTAAGTCCAGGCTTTAGGGGCAGGTAAGTGGGGGGTTGATACTTGGCTCTACTTTGATCAGCTATTTGACCATGAACAAGGTGTCCTGACTGTTCTGAGATAATTTCTTCCTCTGTAAAGTGGGGGTGATAATGCTCCTTCTTAGGGAAGTTGTGAGATTCAATGAGATAATACATGTAAAGTACTCAGGCCAGTGTCTAGAAATAAAATCGTGCCATAGACCATAGACGCCTAAGAGAGCCCAGCAGAGCTCAGTTGACCCAGACTACGAGAATAACCCAGCCAACTCACAGAATCATGTGCTAACTAAATGACTGATGTGATAAGTTACTAAGTTTTTTTTTGTCACAAAGCAAAAGTTAACTGACACAAGGATGGTGTGTTGGACACAATGATAAGTACTTCACTTGTATGAGGTTTGACTCTACACATTAATCCTAAGAGGTTGATTCATTTTTGCAAACGGAGAAAGTAGCCTAGAGAAGTGGGGAAATACAGTCAATATCACATAGCTGCTAAGAGGCTGAGCCCAGGATTCAAACCCAGCTCTGTCCAACTCTGTGGTCCAGCTTTATCCATTGCAGCATACATGGTCACACCCAAAGCCCAAACAGTGGGATTCAGGTTCAAATTGTTATTTGGCAAAAGGCTTACATGATGTTTCTAAGGCTCTTGTTATTATTTGTATTCAGGATAATTCCTTTCATGGTCACCGTAAATTACTTCTGAAATACTCAAGTTATGACTAATGAATGACCTAATATGTTTCCTTTATATGGAGATTTACAGTTTTAAATTATAAAGTGAAAAAAAATATATAAAATTTATCTCACTTGATCAATGTAGTAATACAAGGTGCTGAAAACTAGACAGACTACTATGACCTCTATAGGCCAAAATCTTTTTGGAGATAAAATTAACAAGTCACAACGTGGCATCCAAGCTCACTAAACAGCTATGTGTTCATTCATTCATTAACAAGTGATTTATTGATCACATACGTTGTGCCAACCCCAACTGCTAGAGACTCAACAGTGGTGAGCAAGAAGAGTTTCACTTTACTGGGGGAGGCAGACAAGAAATAGGTAGACCAAATAAATTAATTAAAAAAGTTACAGATTATTATATACAGTCAAGATATATTTTACAAGTGGAGTCTACAGGACTTGCTGAAGTTGTTGGGGTGACTGAGGAAAGGAAAGGACCTTCTTTAGGTCAAGGAGTCAAGGTTTCTAAATGTGGTTGTTTTAAGTTCTTAGAGAGTCAAGATTTATAGATAGTTATAGATCAATGTGCAAACCCCACCCCTCACGGCTCCTATGTTTAACAACTACTGTGAATGGTGAATAAATCCTCTTCATGATATTAAACTACTCCCACTATGGCAGGTACTGTGGAATGACCTGGCCTGAACTGGTTTGAGCAGAATGACCTTGATATTAACGAAGTTACTTGCAGAAAAGCAAGCAATGCTTAGACAACACTTAAGAAAACACCTGCAGTTCCTCATGACTCAAGAAAGAGGGATGCCTTATAGAAACCAGCACTGGGACGTGGAGTGCAGACCCAAAACAAAATAAAACAAACATACCGAGGCTGAAGAAAGCCAGGGTAATTCAGACAGAGACAAAGCCAGACTTTAGTGCACTGAAAGGCACAAATCAGCGAGACCCACCAGGTCAACAGCACTCACCCAAAAGGAAACTTCCATGTAGCCAGAAAGGGTCTTGTTGTAACTTAACCTCTACTGGGGCCAAAGAGCTATTTCTCAAGGAGAGTCAATTTTTTATTTACTCTGTTTTAAAAGATGTCTTTCTGGGGTCAGGGTTATGGAAAATTATGATGCTCAAGATCTGATGGCATATCTTTTGAAATCTTTCAACAGGGAGAGAGGCTTGTTACTTAGGTGTTCATTAACTCTTAGTAATGATACTTGTAATAATTGCAACATTTATTGAGTGCTTAAAATGAACTAGGCACTGAGCATTGAGACATGACTTCATTTAACCTCAAAAAAACTCTATGAAGAAGTCCTGCTATTGCCACCATTAAAAAATGAGGAGCGAAAGTGTATGGTCACACCGCTAGGACTTAGTGTCAGGGCTATCCAACTCTTAGCCAGTGCTGCTAATCACCAGACTGAACAGTTATGGAATCCTACTAGAGATGTCAACGAAACCACTCGCAAGAGAGGGTAACTGTAGTAATGGTCCCTCCATCTCTCTTTGTTTATTGTCTGTCTCCTCCCACTAGAATGTCAGCTTCGTGAGGACTTCATCTCTCTTGTTCATTCTTGTATTCCCAGTGTCTAAAATAGTGCTAAAGGAACCCTAGTGGTGCAATGTTTAAGCACTCAGCTGCTAACTGAAAGGTTGGCAGTTTGAACTCAGCCAGCAGCTCCGAGGGAGAAAGACCTGGCAATCTGCTTCTGTAAAGATTCCAAACCAAAAAACCAAAACCGTTGCCATCAAGTCAGGGTAGAACTACCCCACAGGGTTTCTAAGGCAGTAATCTTTATGGAAGCAGACCACCACATCTTTCTCCCGTGAAGCAGCTGGTGGGTTTGAACTGCTGACCTTTTGGTTAGGGCTTAAACACTGTGTCACCGAGGCTCCTTTCCATAAACATTACAGCCTTGGAAACGCTATCAGGCAGTTCTACTCTGTAACATGGGAGTCAAAAATCAACTTGACAGCACCTAACAACAAAATAGTGCTTGGCATTATAGCTTCTCAATAAACAGTTCTTGACTGAATGAGTGAATCTCTCTATTCTACATCTTTGCTGAGAACTTGGCTAGAATCCGTTAGTTTTTTTTGGTAATGAAGCTACCGAATTCATCTGAACCACAGGCGACATTGTATTGTCACCTGTATTTGCTGACCACCAGAAACAGAAATCACATGAAATGGCATAAAATTTCACAAAGCATTCAAAATAGTTGCAACCAAATAAGTTTCTAACTGCTACCAACCAGACTTGGCCTGAGAAGTTCATTAGTAGTTTAACACTATTCTATGATCATTTGCTAACTGGCTTAGAGTTGAGAGTATTTAATCCAATCTATTCTCCATGCCAATTGTCTGTGGAAATGATGATTCGGCAGGATCATGGGGCTTACAAAAACAGGATATGGATTCAGGTATTTACTGTCCTAATTTAATTTAATTCAACAAATATTAAGTTTCAGTTATAGGGACTACGCCAAAAACCAAACCTGTTGCCACTGAGTCGATTCTGAGTCATAGCAAATCTATAGGACAGAGCAGAATTGCCACACAGGGTTTCCAAGCAGCAGCTGGTGGATTCGAACTGCCAGCCTTTTGGTTAGCAGCCTGAGCTCTTAACCACTGCACCACCAGGGCTCCATAGGGACTATGGTAATGTTAATAATTATGGTAATAATGAGCTGTGTGATATTAAGCAAATGACTAAACCTTCTGGCTCTGTA